TTTCGCGATCTGGCAGCCGAGGTTGCCTTTCTCGTGAGATGTTATTCACACTTCACCACATCCGCCCTCAGCATGCAAGTTGGACTGTCACGGTTCACCTCAGGTCTCATTCTGCAATTCCCCGACTCGCGCTCACTGCTCCTACATTTTCGGGAGAGCCGACCACCTTGAGCCCGCAGGGCAGCGACTCTGCAAGCATCCCCGTGCAGACCCCGCCCGACTCTCCCATGTCGAGGGGGAGCCATCGGTCACGTCACTCCAACATCTCGTGCCGCTCACGCTCCCACGCCTCCAACCCTGGCCGGCGATTAGCAGCTTTGGAGGCTGAGCTTTGCCAAGGCAACCTCGCGCGAGATCACCTCGTCCGGGATCGGGATCATCTGGATCTGCAAGTGTGCCAGCTACGAGCCGACATCCGGAGCATGGAACGTTCCAACACGGGCAGCGCGACGAGATCTCCCGTCTTGAGGTCGAGATCACCAACCTCGCACGCGACGCCGAAGACGATCCCGACGGTCTCCGCATCCAAGTTCGTCAATTTCGCGCGGAACGGAACGACTTCGAGCGTCGCGTAGGTTCCACGCGTCCGGATCTGCGTCTTGTCGAGGAGGAACGCGATCGTCGGTACCAGGTGGCGGTCAAGGCCGGGGAGGAGATCCGGGATTTGCAGGAGCAGGTTTGTGACCTGGAGCGCGAACTTGACGGCGCGAGATCCGAATCTGCCACGGCCCTGGCCAGCTACAACCGGGTCTCCACGAATCTCACCCGCCTTCAACCCGATAGCGGAGGGAGTTCGCCTCTCGGAGCTTCCGCTCGATTAGTTCAGGCAGCCCGGGATCGCGCGTTGGCCGATCTCGCGCGAGTACGTGCGACTCTGACGCAGGTCACATCTGATCGAGATCGAGCCTCCACACAACTCGCTCAGGCCGGAGAAGATCGAGATAGAGCCCTCGCGGATCGCGATACAGCCCTCCAGAGTCGAGATCAGGCGATCGCAGATAGCGATCAAGCCCACTTGGACTTCCTCACCGAAGCTGCCCGGGTCGCCCAGCTGGGTAAGTGCAATTCCCTATCTGGCCTTATGTGACCTTCCTTCTAACGCCTGTTCCATACAGATGATGACCTCGAGTTGGTTCGCTTGAAGCTTGAAGGGTGGGAAACCCGGATGCGGGATCTAGGAGACGTGTATTTACGCTCCTAGCATAGTGGAACCAGCGTAATGAGTCTACTCAAGCAAATAGTACGTCAGTACAAAAAGACTTAAGAGTTTCGAGTGAAAACTGAATGTGATTGTTGTTTAAGTATTTGCTGTAGGGGAAAGCACCACGTGCAGTAAAACCCCACGTGGACTAGCTTTGACTATGTGGTCGCACCCACTGAGAGAGCTGCACGCATGCATAGGCAGTTCTTAGAAACCCGCAGTTTCTCTGGAACTTGCCATTCTCTAGTGTAGTCAGTGTCGTCAGCCATCACTCACTACTCGTAGCCTTTCAACAAACACGTAACTAGCTGTTGGTACAACCTAAGTGATATATGAACACAGTCCATATCTCATGCTCCCACCTCAATTTGGTTGTGCAACATGCATTGCTCATATTGAAAACTCCAAAAAAATCAACTTCTTGCATCGCAGTAGGATTTAAAGTTCACCCCTGATGACATTCACATCACTGGCATCACACACGACGACGTTCTCGTCATAGTCTACCTCCATTTCACGTGATACAGCTGCGTGCACAACTCCTGTAGGCATCCATGCCTTCTGTACGTCTTCAATGTTGAGAAAGTCACGCAGATGCTCAAACACGGACGGTCCGAGAGCTTTAGTAAAGATGTCGGCGATATTTTCAATGGTCGAGACATATTCCATTTGTAAGTGTCCACGCTCAGTCCATTCGGCAATAGAGCGAGTCTTCTTGGCCAAATGCTTTTGATTTTGTGAATTTCCGTTGTTTCCTACCTCCTTGATAGTGCTTTGGTTATCACAAAATAGAGATTAATATTGAGGTCTCCAAGCTATATTGAAATGTATGAAAGACTTAACAAAATAGTTAAGGCGAGAGTTGGTTACCTGGACAGGATCTTTGATAAAATTCATGGATAGAATTCAGTCTTACACTACCTATTCTTTTCGTACTGACGCACTATTTGCTTGAGTAGACTCATTACGTTCGTTCCACTAAGCTAAAGTGCTAGGAGTCGTAAATACACGTCTCCTAGGTTATGATCACACCTACAACTGGAAGCGGTGGGTTCATTTTGCATTTGGGGTGATCGTACCGACTTTGCTGCAGCTAGCCCAAACCTTTGAAGCATTCGATCAATATAAGCTGTTTGTGAGATGCACAATATCTCACCGGGTTTGTCATTTATTACCATACCAAGCAAATGTTTCACTCGTCCTAAATCTTTCAGTTTAAACTTGGTACCAAGAGCTGCAACAACCTTGAAGCCTCGTCTTGTATGAGTTGAAAATAAAGATTCAGGCCGAGTGAAACATTTGCTTTAGGAGACGTGTATTTACGACTCCTAGCACATTAGCTTAGTGGAACGAGCGTAATGAGTCTACTCAAGCAAATAGTACGTCAGTACGAAAAGACTTGAGAGTTTCGAGTGAAAACTGAATGCGATATGTTAGCTCCTCCCGGTGGAGGCTCTTCCCTTCAGCTAAATCCGCAGTTAACCTCTCTCAGAGCGTGTGTTCCTATCCATGCTGCGGTCTGGGTGTTCACGGCTGCCGAGATCTTCCCGTGGGATCCGACCTTCGTGGGGTCCGTACCGATCATTGCTATGATCCCGACCATTTTGACCTAGAGGTTACCGATTCCGTCCGGATTCCTGTATCCTGCGCGAGCACCAACCGTTCGACCTCCCATACCAAGGACAGGTTATCGATCCGAGCTGATCACCGGTGCGAATATCTTGGCTCTGCTGGCCACCCAGCCGTGGCTTGTACTCCGGAATCGTTCCGCTCCCCTGACGTTCGATCGTCACCTGCACTGCCGTGCCAACTCCCCTCTATGGCGGATCGCCGTGTCCTACGCGGACCTGGAGGGGGATCGCCCGCAGGCGTATTGGGAATCGACCCATTTTCTCGAGATCACGAGGCGATGTGCACCTCGAACCTGGATCTCCTGCAATACCACCACGATCAATACCAGCGACGCATCCGAGTTGGTGATCGCTGGCGCAATCAGCTTGCAGCGTGCCTCCTGATCATGCGGAATCTTTGGGTCGACATCGATCTCCTACTGGATCCTTTCTTCCTCCATTTGCCCACTACCCAGGATCGAGTACGCTGGAATCCCGGATCCATCCCCCGAGCGGCCAATCTCGTACAGACGACCACGAACCTCCCCGAGCCGACAGATCTGATCACCGCTCCGGTTGAATGTGATCAGGCCGATCCCTGGCGGAACCATTTCCGCGACCATCCTGCCGATCATCCGTCGCTGCGGATTCCACGTCTCGCGAACAAGTTCAACCCTCCTGCGGCTCCTACACCCTTTTAGTTCGACCATCCGGTCTTTTTTCGGGAGCGACACCCGAGATCACCACTCTCCATCCCGAGATCTCGATTTCGTCCTGTGTGTTCCGTAATTAACCAATCTCAGCAGCATTTCCGTTTGCTTGCTTTTTTCGTTGCACCCACGGGGCGATCCGTCTTCGTGCTCACTACGTCTTCCACAATCTCCCCGTGAGGCCCAATGTCCTTATCCATATGCACGTATATAACATAAATTCCTGATCCCAGCCTTCTCACTGACTTGCGTTCCGTCCCGGTTGAGACGATCAGGTAGTCTCGCCTCGTCCCTCCTCACATCTCTTCATTCGACTGCATTGCGCTGAATCAGTTGTGATTCACACGTTCTCGCAGGAAAGCGTTCGGTATTGCGCCGCAGTTGAGATCTGCCTCGTCGACCCAGGTCGGTTCATCGTATCCCACCTAGTGTACAAAAAATCCTCGGTAGACCCGACCGAAGCGCCTCTTCTTCCCACCTCGCTCATCCGCGAACCATTCAACCTCGTACTCGTCGGCTCCGAGATCTGGGACCCAACTATCTTCCGGGGGCAGGACCACGTCAAAGTCGAGGCGATCCGATTCGTTCACAGTGCGTTCGACTCGAGGTCGATCCGGGACGTTCTTTACCAGTTTTACCTTCGACACATGAATTACCGGGAAGATCTGGTATCCCGTGCCTGCGATCTCGGGTTTGATGGTGAATTCATTGATCTTTTCGGCAGCCCGAAATGCCAGAGGTGAGCCAACTTGCGAGCGTACCCCTCTCTCCCCCGGTCGAGATATTGCCAAACCCGAGATCCCGCCTCGATCTGGTGTGAAGCAACGTCCTCATTATGCCTACTGGCGCGATCTGCAATGTCTTCTCGCATTCTGGCGTTAACTTGTTCCCGTGACTGCTGATAATGCCGTTGGTCCCGATAACGCCACCATCGCGGGTCCCGATCGCGCCGTCTGCTACATCCGACTGGGATTGTGGCCTCCAGCGTTGATCTCGGATCCCACCCATGCACCAGATAATGGGGGTATCTCCTCGAATCCGATCGTGGACCGTGTTGATGGCGAAGGTGAGGCGCTCGGCGTACTCATGCCAATCTTCTGATCTAGATCGTGCACGTACATCTTGAGTACCCTGACCGCTGTATGTATCATTCGTTCCAATTCCCGTGGGCTTGAGGCCGATACGCCATCGTCGCTCGCTGTGGTTGTCCCAGGATTTTATTGAACGATCGGAAGTAGTCGTACATGAATCCGGGTTCTCGATCGTATCTCATCATCTCGCTAGCACCGAATCGCCGAAATACACACTCTTCGTACGATTTTGCGACCGTCTGGGCCGATCGGGATGAGCTAGCCTTCGCGATCACGTATCCCGTGAACAGATCGACCCGGATCAACAGATCGGTGTTCCCTCTGTTTGATTTGGGCAGCGACGGTATATGATTCATCGCAATTATCTGGAACGGATACGTTTCTTGACTCTCCTTGGGTCTCGGGCCTCCCTTTACCTGTTTCGCAATCCACGCATTCTCCCACATATCTCTGAACGCTCCGGTATAATCCCCTCCAATGAAAGTGATCTCGAATCCTCTGGTAGGTACTGCCTACTCCCTGATGTCTGCCCTCTAACATAGTATAATAGTTGTTTAAGACGTCCAGTTGCAACGTTTCGGGTACTACCAGCCTCAGCAACCGATCGCGATCGTCCCACGATCTCGATGCGGGAGGGTAGTAAAAGAGTAGATTTTGCTCGTCCACCTCATAGTCGGCCGCGATCTAGCCGTACGATCTGACCACCATTGACTTCGATCCCGCCTTGTCGTTGCAAGGCGGCACTCGCTAGACTGTCGGCACTCGCATTCCAATCTCTCTTCCCATGCACTAGCTCATGGTCACTCCATTTCCTCAAGCGGTCGAGGACTTTCCACCTCAATAGCGTCAGCCCGGGTGCCTTGCAATCGATCTCGCCCCGAATCTGCCGGATCACTAGGTTGGAATATCAGCAGATCACTAGGTGCTTACGATCAAAGTCCGCTAGCATGTCGAGGACCAACAGGAGGTCGTTGCACTCTGCTTCGTCCAATGTGAGATTCTCGAGGTGGCATGATCTGGCCTTGGCCACCTTCCACCCAGGTAGACTCCACACGATCGCGCTGAACGAACCCTCACCCCGCTTCACTCGAGCCGATCCGTCAAAGCTAACTACTCATAATTCCTCATCTCGGTCCACGGTGGGTACCGGTGTTTGGGTCCGGCGTTTGGGTTCCTTCCGAGGCGTGATATCGGTTAAGGCGACGTCGATCTTTGACCTCGGCGTGATGCTGGCAGCGATCGCCCCCAGTATCTCGTCTTCTCCTTTCGTGCATCTCGTGATCTCGAGAGTCCACGGAGCCAGGAGCGCAGACCATTATCCTAAACGACCTTGTAATCGCGCCGACTTGAACAGCCAGACCAGCGTGGAATGCCTCGTCAGGACCCGGACCTCACATCCCACCAATAAATTGTAGTAGAGTTCCAAGACCCTCAGCAATACCAACACTTCCTTTTCTGTCACATTGTAGTTAAGCTCATTCGTCTTTAGCGTGCGGCTGGCGAACGCAACAGGATGGTAGATCCTGTCGTGTTCTTGCATCAGCGAAGCCGAAATCGCCCAGTCACTGGCATATACAATCACTACCGGCGTTCTCGTCTCGTCGAAGTGGCGGAGGATCGGCGTCGTCGCGATCTTGGTCTTTAGAGTCGTGAAAGCTTTATGAGCTCTCATCTAACGGTTCCGCAGGCTGGGGTTCCGATGGGTCGTTATCCCGCGCGGTAGGGTCATTCTGGTCCATGATCTTCCTCAGATCCGATCGTTTCTCCAGTTCTGCAAATTCCATCTCGCGTAGCTCATATAGAACGAAGGCGTATATAGCATAGTCCTCAATAAATCGGCTGTAATAGTTCAGACTACACAGGAACGACTGCATGGATCGAAGTGATCCGGGGAATGGCAGATCGGTCAGAGATTTCAGATCTTTCGGGTTTGCCTCTAGACCTTCGATCGCCACTCGGTGTCCCAGGTATCCTACCCCAGAAGCTCTTTGTCACACTGATCAATAAATTCCACTTATCACAAGCTTCCAGCAGGTCTTCCACCCTTTGGCACATTTGATCCCACGATTCTGCTGTGATCATGATGTCATCAGTGTATGATCTTCGACTCAACACCGAGTGGCGATCAGGATCGTCTGCGATCCCTGTCTGGAAGACGTCCGTGGTGTTTCCTGGGTCACCTGACCGCGGGAGTTTTAGAAACCCGTACTGCGCGTTGTCCACGAGGCGTTGATAGATCTGGGGCGCGTTTTTTTAATCCGAAGGGCCTGCGATTCCATTCGAATAGTCCGAACATAGTGATAAATGCTGAGATCTCGCGAGCTCGATCCGTCGTGGGTACGCCCAGAAGCCACTGGTCATATCCAGTGAGCAATACCACAACGCCTTATCGAGGTCTTCTTCTTTTAAATCGCTGATCAGAGGAATAGGGTAGACCATCAGCCTCGTGAGGCCGTTTACCAACTTGTAGTCGGTGCACAGCCTGATATCTACGCCGTTACGCTTGCGGACAATCACTATTGGTGAGGCCCATGGCGACGTCGAAGGTCGGATGATCTCGGCGGCTAGGAGCCCCTTGACCAGACCTGCGACTTTTTCTCGGAACCGTGTGGGTGCTTTCCGGGATCGCGACGCGATCGGTTTCGCGTTCCTGGCATCAATAACCATACGACGCCCCTGGCCGCCGGAGGTAGGGCGTTCCCCTTACCGATCAAGAGGTGTTGCTTCTTCCAGATGATCTGCCAGAGTTTCTCGATCTCCTCGAGGGTGGCTGATTCGGAATTTCCTACCTGCAGATCTTCGCTACTGACTTCCGCGATTGTCGAAATTGGGCTTTCGGGGAGCATAGCGATATTGCCCGTGAGATCTTCGGCTGAGAGATCACCACTCTCGTGGTAGTAGATGTCATCATCGTCCTCGGTATTCTGTCGGGGGGAAGGGGGTCGATGCTGCTTCTTCCGCTGATAACTCGTGTAACTCGACGCCCTCTGTCGGGTGGATCTGGGTGTTTACGCCGTAATCTTTGCCGGATTCGGGCTTGATTCCGGTTTGACAATTCGGATTTTCCGTTTTCGGCTCGATATCCTTGGTACCAGTCCGATCGGGAGCCTGGTCCGGCAAGCTCTCACTTATCCCGCCGCCCCCAGCATCGCCGCTCCGGTATCGATCGGAGTTGGGGTTTGTCGGTGGTGTAGGCGGATACGGATTGGGAAACCTTTCCTCAATCTGGGCTGCGTTAGTCGTTTCCGCTAGCGATCGAGTCTTGAGGGTCGATATCAACGTACGATCCCGGTTGATGTCGGAGGGTTCAGCACGTCGTAGTACCAATCGCGGAGTGGTGTACTTGGGTGTTTGTACAGCTGGCTTTTCCGGACCTTCTGAAGCTTCGGGAGGCTCCCGGTCGAGTATCTATCACCAATTCCTATGCCAGGTTTTGTTATTCCCTGTAACGGCGAGACCCGGCGGACACATACCCAGGCGATCGGGGCACTTTATCCTGATCCAGTATCATTCCGACGTCTAGACGATGGTCTAGTCGTAAGAACGTTTCTCCGATATTCAAGATTATCAGGTAGCGGGTCCGACCGGGGCCCTCAGTTACTGTCGGTACCCATCGTTCTCCTCTGGTCACCCACAGTTTTCTGTAGCTGATAACCTCATGCTCGCTGCTGTTTCTTCCGACTGTCCAACCGGGATTCGTAGAAGTCTTTCGAGGGTTACTGATCTTACCTTCTCGCTATACAGTCTCATACGCCCATTAAGCGGTGTCCCAACTTCGTCAGGTAGTCGCATCGATTCGTCGGCGAGGCCCATACAGACACCGGCTGGGACCATGAAATCCATGCCTAGGATCGCGTTCTGTCCTGATAGATCTCCAATCCAGATGTCGAAAAAATACACCAGATATCCCGCTAACGTGATCTTGATCTTGGTTCTCTCTTCTGAGGTATGTATGTTGTCACCGATTCCCACGCATTCCTGTCCCTGACTAGTGTCAGAGTGGCATCCCACCGTACGAGCAAAGGTGGTATCCAAGATTGATACCTCAGCGCCGGTGTCTAGGAGCAGAATCGCTCTCTCTTGATTGACCCTGCCTGAAATCTAAACTTGTCAGAACCATTTCCCGGTGCATGACGTTTACAATACCCCCGGGACTCTCCTCGTTTGAGATCTAAGGCCACTTCTGCGTCAGACCGGCCAAATTCGCCGATCCGAGGGAGGCTCGCGATATTGGCGGCATATGAATGTAAGTTACATGTATTACCGCGTAGATCCGACTCCTTCCTACCGCGATCTGTCGTCGCCTTGTTCGCGTATGCGTAGATGCAGTACTTAGAACGCTCGGCTCGTACCGGATTCCAACCCGGCGAGCGTTCTAGTTTAATATCTTCTCCACTTGCCCTGGGAACAGCCCGGCGTGTCGAGTCGGATCGTACCATTTGCGTATCAGATTGTAGAATTCTTCCATGGGGCATTCTCCTGCATCATGGACGTCCCCATATTCACGACACGCGTACAGGCAGCGATCCGTTGGGTGATCTCTCTTTCCGCACTTATCGCACGTCAGGTGATTCCAACAGTCTAGATCCGTGTGTTTTCTGGATCCGCAATGCGAACAACGTTCTCGTTCTTGACGATCCCTATCACCCGGGGCCCGGCGTTCAGGGATCTGGCCTTCCTCTGGAGCTTTCGTACGGGTTCGTACCGGATCTGGTTGTTGTGAGGCGCCCCAGTGCCGATCAACTTCTCTTCTGCCGCGACGAGAAAAATCCTCCGAAGTTCACCTTCCGAGTCGGATCCGTCCGATCCCGAGACCCCTTCTGATTCGGAACCCGGATCTTGCGCTTGGACCGCGCGTACCATGGCCCGAGCTGGTGCAGCAGCCGCGCTGACTGGTGCCTTCTGTCGATATTTCGATCCAAACGCGGATCTGCGCTGCCTACCCTTTGCTCTTTCCCGTGCGCGAAGCACTTCCTCGAGTTCGTCGACGTTGGCCAATCTCAGTAAAGTTAAGCGGTCGGTCAGCTCGGGATCGCCCAATGTCTCGATATAATGGTCCACATGTTTCTGACGCGCCTTGGGGTTCCCGTCCTTGATCTTGAGTTTAGCTCGTAGGGCTGCCACGTTCAACCGATAGATGTAATCGAGCGGGGTCTCTTCGGATCTTTTACGTGCATGGTAGTATTGCCATGCCACTGACATACCCAGACATCGGTATTGGGTATGGAAACTTTCTAGTAAGTCCGCCCATGTGATTTTGGTTGTCCGACTTAACTGTCGATGTCAGTTCTTGGCTGACCCTACCATCAGATCTGCGAACGTGAGGCACTTCTCCTCTTCTGTTGCTTGATCCCGTCGGAACGCCGATGTGACCTTGCCAATCCAAGTTCTGGCGCGATCTTCGTCAATATCTTTCCCGGAAAACTCTTTTTGATCTGAGATGACCGAAATTCGCACTCTTTTTGGATCAGTGATGACCCTCCCGGGCCGATCGCTGCCGTGTCGACAGCCGCTCGGCTGGAAGTATGGCCGGAGGAGCTCGGGATTCCGAGATCATCGGGATCGTATTCCCAGGAGTGTGGATCTGGGGTACCGACTGACTCCAAATCGATATCCCGCGTCCCCAAGGCTTGTGGTTGGGTTGTTTCAAGGCTCTGTTCTCTCAAGAATCGGACCATCGCCATCTGGAAATATTCGTCTAGTTTGTTGCTAGATCCGGTCGAATTGGTCGTCGGGGTGGTTCGTCCTGCAGGGATCCGACGCTCTTCATGCCGATCGAGTTTCTTCGGGGTCTGAATCGGTCCTGCGGGCCGTTGATCCTGCCTTTTCGTGCGTGTTCTCAAGTACTTAGCGCCCGAGGAACCTAGAGACATACGCTGTGGTCCTTGGGGGAAATCTGAATCTGGCGCTGAGGTAGCCGCAGCGTAGTGTGACGACCCGGTTTGGTTGTTCAGATCTGGCGTTTGTACGTGCTCGCCGACCAGGACCTTGAGCGAATCGAAGAGATCCTGGGTCGCCGACTGGATCGCCCCCAGTTCCATCCCGAATCGGGAATCCGGGGCGAATTCCCCGGTCACCAGTCCGGCCTCCTCGTGCAGATCCAGCAGGATCTTTACTGCGTTCAACCGATTCGAACTGGCACGAGGTTTCGATACCGGGCCTGTCAGATCGCCGATCTGGCGGACCTGTATGATCGCGAGGACGCGATCTTGTAGCAGTGCCTCGCTCTGTATCTTCCGATAGTAAGCCTGTTCGATCATGTCTTTGGCAATAGTCGATCTCGGTCTATTTTCGTCTTCCGATTCCGAATCCGATGCCTTTAGCTTCGTCTGGGCGGCATTAATCTTCTTCTTCTTGGACGGTCTAGTCGCGGCCACCGACTTGGCGGATGGATTGGACTTCAGCTTTGTCGTTTCCTTATCGGTTGTGTACGGATCTAGATTCTCATCGAGATTCGTGTTGGCCGCCGGGGCGACCATGGGAGGGAGGACCTCGAGGCTTTTCTTGACCTTAATCCAGGTCCGCCTCGTGTCTGTCAGTAGAGATCCTTCCCGTATTCTCCTGATATGTGGATCTTGCTGTATTCATCAATGCCTCCGTCGAACCAACATTCGTTGCCACTTCTTCCCTGTATTCAACTTTGACCTTGACATCTTCATGGGACTCACGGTGAAATCCCGAGTCACCAGAATATCTAGGCACGCGCACCAATGTGGTGGAGCGGGTTCTGCGAAAATCTCGTTGACGCAGGTCTCGATACCACTGGCGCCCAGACACCGACTAACGAAGGGGGTCCTCCGATGATCCGTGATCTGGTTGTGTAGTTGCTCTCACCTTGTGTACCCGACGGCGGGCGGGTTACGCTCTTCTAGGCGACTTGTGAGACATCCTTCGGCGAATGAGATAGCGTGGGACTTCTTCACTCTATCTCGGGGTAGTTGATTCCAGTCGCGGGCGTGTCCTTGA